ATACACTGGTTTGTACGTAAAGCCAGAGTCTGTGTTTGCTTTCACAGCCTAAGCCTCTGTGCTTGCAGGTCTCTCACCTAATAAGCGTTTCCCTTCCTTGTACCCAAAGCAAGGTCCTCTGCTCTGTTTATCTGCCTCCTCCTGCATACCTGTGCTTGACCTTCGAGGCCCCAATTGGCATCTGCTCCATGTTTGACACATAGAAAGTTCTAGGTAAATGCTGTCCTTATTACCATATTTTTAAAGAATTACTTAATCTGGAGGGCCAGTGGGGGGTGAAGTGGTTAAGGGCGCAGGACTTCCACATGGTCAACCACTGTTTGAGTCCCGAACCTGGAAGCTTGCTTTCTCTCTTTCTCTCTGTCCCTCTCTGGTCAAATTAAAATAAATAAATAAAATAAAGTTAAATAAAATTTTTTTTTAATTATTTCATTTTGAAGCCAACAGGTGGCATGGTGGTTAAAGGTGCTGGATTCCCACATGACCAAATGCAGTTCAAGTCCTGGACCTGACAGCTTGCTTTCTTGCTTTCCCTTTTTTTTTCTCTCTCTCTGGTCAAATTTAAAAAAAAATAATAACAAATGGCATTAAATAAATAATTATTTTTAAAAAATAATGATTTGTATTTATTATTTTTACTTTTTAATCTGACCAGAAAGAGACGGGGAAAGAGGAAAGCAAGAAAGTAAGCCATCAGGTCCAGGACTCGAACCAAGAGTCCAGCACCCTAACCACCACACCACGTGTTGGCCCTATTACTATTTATAGTTTTGTTTTGTTTTGTTTTAAGTTTATTCCTTCTATGAGCAAGAATGGCAGGGAGCAGGGAAAGACAGCACTCCCAACAAGGTCTTGAAGACACCCCTCTCCCCATAGAGGTAGGGTTTTTGTCTAGCCTGCTTTCTGTCCAGTCCCTTTGTAGGGTCCCATAAAGATACAAATTGTGAGTACAGTCGCTCAGGGCACAGTGCTGAGTACTTCCAATGCAGAAATCATTGGCTCCCCACGACTCACTTTATGTCTGAGGAAAAATCAAGACGCAGAGAGAAAATCCCTTTCCCAGGGTCCCACAGCTGGGAGTGAGACTGGACTGTAGACTGGACAGTCTGACATTTTCCTCTCCACTCTCCGTGTTCATACCCTTTGATCATGTCACACTGCAGTGTAATCTGTTTACATGCTGAGGTCTTAGCCCGCCTACCTGTGAACCCCACAGTCAGGAGTGGTCTGATGTGTCGTGCCCACATTACTGCCACATAGGAAGTGTACCCAATGTGTGGAGGGCACAGAGAGGGCTAGGAACTTGCCCAAGTCCCACAGCATGCTGCACCAAAAACAGAAACCAAGGGCTAGGAGAGAAGAGGGAAGGAAGGAAGCCGGGCCTCCGTGTCAAGATTGCTCACCAACTTCACCCCCACCTTCTGGCAAAGCTACAGAGGGTGACTCACACAGGGCTGCCTCCGGTGGCTCCAGGGGGAGGGCCTAGGCTGCTTCAGCTCTACCTGTGGAGGGCTCTGGGTAAGCCCCAGCCCTTTTTGAGGTAAGCGAAACTCGAGATTGGCATCCTGTTTGACAGATGAGTAAACTGAGGCTCAGAGAACAAGTACTGGCCTCGGTCCCTAACTAGCCATTAACAGAGCAGTGTAGGGACCAGCAGTTACCATAACGGCTATGTCGCTGGACTCCCATGTAGTCGACCGTGGTTCGCGTCCCGGACCCGGTGGCTTAAAAATCACTCCGGGAGCATGCGTGCCCAAGATCCCAAGAGGAGAATGGAGGAGAAGGGATTGCGGTGTAGCCATGATTTCTCGCTTTCTGTCTCTCTCTCTCCGTCTGTCTGGCGACCACACGCGCCCTATAGCAAAAACCTCTCCAAAAAAAAAAAAACAACAGCAGTGCATACCTCGAGTACATCTTGTAGTATCATCTTGCTTATGGGTGGATCGTATCTGTAGGGACAGTTCTCGTAAGTGAAATTGCTTGGTCAAAAGGTGTGCACCTTGGTGATTTTGACATGCGTTGCCAAATTGCTTTCAGCAG